CAGAATTTTTTAAATTCAAGATTGCAAAGAGGCACTTTAAAAGAGTTAATATGTTTTATAAAAATTTATTTTGATTTTAAAAGATGTTTGCTCTTACTTTATTGTTTCACGTTAATTAACCCCTTAAGCCCATTTGCTTTACTTTGGTTAAATAGAATTGTTCTAAGATGCATTATTTAACTTCTTCAGTGGCGTAGCGTAGTGGGGGCGGCACTTTTTAGGGTGCGGCAAAATTTCACAATAAATAATAATAACATCTTGTAAAAATTTGAACCATTCTAATCTATATTTGCATCGCGCCTACGATAGTGCTATCGTCTGGACAGTCCGGGAATCGGCTCACCATCCGAGTGAACTAGTAATTCCATCCGAGCATATCCTGCGCAACCTGTTGACCTTTTTTTTTTTGCTTGTACGATTCATTCGTATTCATATACACCACCAATATCCAATAGAGCTATTTTAAACAGGTCGCTGCACTAGCACGGAATTTTTCATTGCTTGTTCTGTGACGAAACTGAATTTTAGTCTTTTAAATTGAGATACAGTAGTGCCTCGTATAACGTACGCCTCGAATAACGGACGTTGCGAACAACTGACTTTCTATTTGGCCGTTACGTGACTCGAGCAACGGACTGGCTGCGAACAACGGACTTTCCGTTGTTCGCAGCCAGTCCGTTGCTCGAAAATGATTCGTCCCCAATTAGAACAGTTCCGCATTAATCGAGCCCGGTACCACTGCAACCGTCATTGACTGTGCTTACGGGCCGTGAGCGTAGATTTCGGTTGTGTAGTCATCTAGGAATAATTCTCGTGGTCACTTTGGTCACATGTTGGGCGGTCGGTATGTATGTATGTCGGTATATTATGCTGCTGTTACAACTGCTTGAACAATCGATCTGTCTTCCCGTTCTGTAGTCACTCTAGGCCTTTCATTGCCTTCTGTTCTCTAGACTTTGCCATTCAAAACCGCTCCATCTAATTGCCGCATCACTCCGATCCAAATTCTGGGCGATATGTCGATTTGTCCATCCACCCACTTTTAGTTCGATGACACGTCCTCTCAAACTCCATCATATGGTTGTAGTGGGCACGAATTCAATGGCGAGGCATTATTCACGATCAACGATAATCTGCACAATCAGACTTCACAGGAAGTTCGATCTCTCTAAGAAAGAATCACTCTTTATATAAACATCATGATGGGCACTTCAATGCACTATGGCTCGAACCATTGATTGATTGGGTGTTAATTTTTATCATTTGCATATTCAGTCGTAAAGTATATTTAATCATTAACAATACATAGTTGATTAACAGACATACATTTTCTATGTAGTTTTCTGTTTTATTTTTGAACATTCTGCTCTGTTGCACTTAGAAGACCTTTTAATCCTACCATTTTAAAATACAAATATTTGATGTTTATTATTATTATTTTTATTATCTTTTATTAGTTCGTATTCCTTATTTGTGATTTAATTTGTACATAAAAATAAATGTTTTTTCTTCCTATTTTCTCGCTGTATATTTTTTCCCATAATTATATGTAATAGATTTATATAATTATACATGTTGAGATTTAGAAGCATACATATTTCTCAACTATTTTGTAGTTGAGAAATATATAGGCGTACATATTTTGTAAATATGTAGGTATATTTTTTCCCATAATTATATGTAATAGATTTATATAATTATACATGTTGATATTTAGAAGCATACATATTTCTCAACTATTTTGTAGTTGAGAAATATATAGGCGTACATATTTTGTAAATATGTAGGTCTATAGGCTACACTAGGTACTTTAACTTATATGCGTATATATAGTCTATATATAAATACAGACACACATAATAAATACATATATATGTATTTCCATGTAGAAGAAATCGTTAATTTTTTAAAATTTAACGATTTCAATTGGGATTTCCTTCACAATTCGACAACTGTCACAATCTCGTTAGTGAAACTAGTGGTGCCAAAACGTCGTTTGAAGATTTTATCAATGCCGGTAATGGCATAGCTTCTGTGGACACTTATCGGAAAATAACATCTCTGTTTAAGTGAAAAACCAAACTTGAGACACATATAATGATGACGAGGAAAAAATCTCGTTAACGATAAGCCTCCTCCTCCTTACATGTAAGGAAACAAGAAAAATATTTTACTTCAGCTTTAAACGAGCTTTCTGGAGACACGTAACACATAAATCTGGATGTTTTTATGGCGATCGAGCACATCGAAGGTATCGTTAAGCATGAAGCAATGGACAAGTCGACGTCAAACTCACATAAAAGATATTTTGCATTAAAAGGGCCCTGTTGGTGCGGGGCTTGGAGTCCCGCACTATTAAATCAAATAAACAGTAAAACCTGTGTAAATCGGACGCACGGTAGGAATATTTTCCCGGTTTGGCAGGTTTCCATTTTAAACAGGTTTTTTTTTTAAAAAAAACATAGAAAATCGAACAGTTCTGAAGTATTTTTCTCATTTAGGCGAGTTTCTTTTTTATTCAGGTTCCGTTTTGGACAGGTTTCGCTGTATTTTAGAATAGTCATCGAAACAGGAAGATAATCATTATAAAAATAGTATTCCTATTGTTACTCTAATGATTATACTCCAATAAAGAAATTAATCACAAATTCGATCAAAGTATAAAGGTTGTAACGTCTTTATATTACAAATACAGTAAAACCTGCTAATGTGACCACCTGAGTAAGGTGACTACTTTGGGTTGGTCCCTTTAGTAGTCATATTAGCAGGTTTCACTGTATATATTATAATATAATACATACAATTTAATATTATATTAAATGTATACAATACCAGAAAAGAAAAACCTGCCAAACCGGAAAACATATTCGGTACCGTGCGGTTCCGGTTTATACAGGTTTTACTATATATATACTGGAAATACTCTGTATATATAGTAAATGCATTTTGTATATTTTGTGTATGCATTTGTTTATTTTAGTTGCTCTTAATGAATATTCTTTTCCTCGAAAAGTAAAAGCCTTGTTGAATAGGAAGAGGCAACCAAAAGTAAAGATAATACAGTAAAACCTGCGAAAGCCGGAACCCGAGTAAAGCGAGAACCTTTTAGAGGTGGAAAGTTCAAATATTTATTGCATTATATTCATATTCATTGCATTGACTTGACAAATGTTCTCTGAAAACCGGCATCTGTGAGACGAGGACGGAATGAAGGAAATGGTGTTATATTTTTCACTCCGAGAATGGGAATGTATAGACGCAAAAGCCAAAAACTCGTGTGTTCTGTATTTTTTCATTACAATAAAATGAAATTAACTGAATTTAGTTTTTGTGCCATTGACGAAGGGAGGAGAAGTCACACTTGGATACTAACCACACCCACGCTCTGTCTAAGGTGCACGCGTGGTGTTCGTTTATCATTGAAAGTTTATTTCCTAAAATTGTTCTAAAGACCTGAGTGGGTGGAGGTTAATCTTCCAAAATTAAGATGTGTTTATGTCATTATACTTCTGTTTTTTTGTCCGAAGTCCATTGCATTAAGAATTGTTCTGGTTGACGTTAGATTGTTTTTATTAAAAATTGAACATCGCCCATTTATTTAAATGTAAAATCTTTAAAATACATGCAGATAATTTCACCCAACCTCATAACAGAGTAAAAAAATATTTTCAGGTCATTTGTGTAGGCAACAAAAAGCAGGCCCTACGAGAGGGGAGTATAGCGGGGCCCATGGACTTTAGGTTGTTCTTCAGAGGAAAAATCATTTAAAAATTGTCCATTTTCTTCTTATATTTTCCAAATAATAAAATAACTTTGGCCACGGGCTAACATTTATACTAGATTATTTTTCTACTTTGATATTGTTATGTTATTTGTATAAGCAAGGCCTCCAAAAGGGGGACCTAAAATGATCTTTGCACCGACAGCTCTCCGTTCATATATCCGATTTCTTTCTCGAAACTAATTTGTGTATTAGATATAACATTAAGAAAACAATTTTAAAAATCTAGATTTACCATACATACAATTTTCACGCCCATTTCCCAGAAGGGGTAGGCAGTTAGCAAGAAGGATCACACACACATACACACATCTACTCCTGAGATTCCTCCAGAATCTCCTGATATTCATACCTCTTTTTCTTCTTTCGCCTTCATCTCCCTCCTAGCACATTTTCTCACACTTATCCTGCTATTAATCTTTCGTTCCTTCAAATCACTTGATCCAACTAGGATCTCCCCCATTTCTTTATTCTTCCATTCTTCCCTCGATTTACCAATTAGGCCTATTTAAATTGGTTATCCTTTCTTAATTTAAGAGAATTTATTTTTTTCTCGGAGGCATGTATGCTATTTAAATTTTTAAATGAAAATTTATTAAATTGATTTAGATTAATTATATTAATTTAATTAATTAAGTATTAAATACAAGATTACATTTTATTTCCCTTAATTATTTTATCACGCACACAAATCACTTTCAGCTCTCCTCTTGTCAGCTTCAGTTCCTGGTTTTATTTTTTTTAAAAAGCTATTTAAATACTTAATTTATGAATCGCTGATTTGTTCCTTTGTTCTATTTTTAGTGCCATATCACTATACTCGATGAGTTTTGGATATTTTACTGCTGTAAATTCGACAGAAGTATAATTTATTTTAACATTTTAATTCGAGTTCACATAAAAAAGGGGGCTTTTAACACACGAATTTAACTCTACCCCCCGTGCAATTCCGACTTACACAAATTTTTACTGTATATGTATTTTCTCAAAATGAATTTTTGCCCCTTTTCTGCCTCCCCTTGTCTTCCAGCGCCCCCTTCAGACTTTTATCACCCGCAAGTGGGCTGTAGCGCCCTTTTTGAGTTCTACAGCTCCCTTGCGGATGGAATCACTGCCCTGTACCTATGAGTTTTTTTTTTATTTATATTTTTAATGAATTCTGTGAAATATATTCTATTATAAAGAATAAAAATAATGCTTTCTTTTTCTCTCTTTATAGCTGATAGCCCTGTGTGCTCTGATAGCAGTCCAGTCGAATGGATCCTGTTGGTATTCCTTCCATACCAGATTTCGTGTTGTTACTTCAGTTACAATCGCCGCCTTTCTTTTAGCTTTAATTATCTACACCTTATTTTTGTATCGAGTAAATAATTGGCTTAGCAAGTTTATGAATGTAACCCTAACGGTAAGTGCTGCCATCTGTAGTTAGTTTCGCTTAAAACTGCCTTCATTTTTAAGATGTGTTGGCGTGTCACTTCGAAGTAACTAGGCGGGAATTTTCTTGGTAGATCTCGTTTAATTTTGCTGTGTCCGTTGATTAACCATCCGATCTTACTGCTAGTCTGGATGAATTCGTAATGAGCAGTAAATAACGATCCTACTAGCGCTTGTTAGGGATGAACAGGGCCTTTGTTTTCTGTCTATAGCGCTTAATATTCTAGAGACAATACCGGATCCGGAAATCTTTAGAGAGGTGCAGAAAGGAAATATCCTATAGGCAAAAAAGGGTAATTGCCTGGAGGCCCCTAAATTCATATTTGAAAGGCCCGTGAAGCTATAATGCGTCACTGATAACTGAGGTTTTACTCGGCCAAAACCTTCAGAGGGGGTGCAGCTGCGCCCTGAGTATCCCCCAAATCCGCTCTGCTAGTAGGGCCGTCATTATTGTTTTTTTAAATTCCTTCTTATAATGTATAAAGAAAGTATAGAAAGGGGTATAAAAGTTTTAATTGTCTTACAAAAAAATTATATAAAATAATACAGTAATTCCTATTTTGGTATGTTTAATCAATTCTCGTTATGAAATTTTAGGGAGGAAATAGGATAAGATCACTGGGAGAAAATAAAATACAAAACCGGTCTGGTAATAGAACACATTACAGAAAAAAAAATGAAGTTTACATACAAGAAACGGGCATTGCACTCTCTTACATTTTCTCAGCTGTATGCGGGAAACATACATTAATTTAAAATGCAGCTAAGAAAAAACTACGGTGTGGTTCGCTTGAAAATAAATATTATAGTGATGAGGATGGTTGCGCTGTTTTGATTTATTGCCAAGAGAATATTTTACTAAACTAAGGATCAAATTCTTCACACGTTGCAATTTTCGATAGCTTCTCATGACCTACTTACAAATGCGGATTCTAAACTGATGATGTCATAACGACTACTTCAAATTTTGACGTCACCAGTCAAGCGAGATCTTTATGATGAAGGAATTTGAAGTAGTTCTGCCTTCTTTACTTACTAAATTTTATAATTTAATCCATTATGAACTAGAAATAATCATTAAATCTAGTTATTACGCATGAAAAATTCATGTGGAAAGAAAAATTCCATGCGTTAGATAATATTCAACATAAATTTTTATTGTAATTGTTATTAAATTTTGATTTTATATTTTAAATTTGAATTCAAAATGGGAATTTACTTTGCATCATTCCACCCCGAAATTTAATTAATTTTTAATGATAATTTTCTTATGTAAGCAGACCAGAATGTTAAATATAAGAATGCATATTGTCTATTTTTAAACACACTTTTTGTTTAGTTATTTGATAAAATCGATATTTATACCTTACAATAAATTTATCAGGGAATTTTGATGACTTCTCAAAACTTGCATCTGCTTGAATAGATCTTAAGGAGAGGATAAAAATTAATAAAATTTTTCTTCTATATATATATATATATATCTTGTTATTGACTAATAATTCTTTTTAAAACTTTAAGGAAAAATCTATATATAAAAGTCAAAATATGTATGTATCTGTGTATATACTCCCAATCCAACCTCACCAAATCTCCATCCCATCAAAAGCACGAGCAACGCCAGGCACACTCAGCTAGTTATACAAAGTACAGTAAAACCTGTTCAAAACGGAACCTGCCAAATCGGAAAAAAATACGGTAAAATCTGTGTATATTAATGAATATTTTTTCCGGTTTGGCAGGTTTTCGTTTTCGACAGGTTTTACTGTAGTACCGCACGAATCCGGTTTACACAGGTTATACTATATATTGTTCACTTTATTTCATTTCTCATAATTATTTTTAGCATAATAATTAATATTAAGGCAATATTCGATTTTGATATATTTAACACAAAATATTAAAACTAATGATATACAGTAAATGTAAAATATGAAAATTAAATATGACATTTTTAGATAAATTTCTACACAAATTCTAAACATATGTAATTTTATATTAATATTTAAAATTATTGAGGTTAAAAATCATTTTATTATCAATTTAAAGTGTAATAAAATATGTGAAAGAGTGAATTTCATTACACCATTTGTAACTTAATCATGTATGAAGGAATGAAGGATGTTTGTAAATATAAAAGAAACAAACCTATCTGTAAATTAAATAAATATATATATAATATAAATAATACATGCATACAGTAAAACCTGTCTAAGATGGAAACTTGCCAAACCGGAAAATTATTCGGTACCATGTGAGTCCGGTTTACACAGGTTTTATTGTTTTATTCTGTTTTATAATATTTTAAAAGTTTATATTATATAGTAAAACCTGTGTAAACCGGAATCATATTGTACCGAATGTTTCTTCGGTTTGACAGCTTTCCGTTTTGAACAGGTTTTAATGTATATAATTATTAGCAATGTGCTGAAGTGTGTGTGTAATACATAGAAAACATTTACATTTAAAACATTTTATAGGTTTCGTTCACTAGAACTGGATAACAACATTAAATTTAGTGCAAAGTTTGGGCACGGTGAATATATACATTTACCTTAGTTCTACTAAATATAGCTTTACAATAGTAAATAAACATTACAACAGAACTCTTACGTCACGTATAAAATTTTAAAGGAATTGTTTAAAAAATTCAATTGATTAGGCATATATATTTTAGAGAATATACAGTCAAACCTGTTAACCACGGCCATTGACGGGAACATAAAAAATGGCCATTGTTTGGAGATTATTTTGTATACATTTTTGTTCAAAACAAATTCCTGAAAAGAAATTGCCTCTGTTTAGAGGTGCTTCGTAATTTAGTCTCGTGTAAATAATAACAGAATAACCCCTTTCTCCTCTCCTAGGTTCATTGTAGAATATATTTTTCCAAGTGGATTAGAAAAATATATGTTAGAATAAACGTAGAGCAGTGGTTCTCGATATTTTTTCACTCATTTATCACCAAGCCTTCTGTGTATAGACTTGCAGTATTAACGGATACCCTGGTTGGTACGTGTACCGCTGACGGAGAGGAAAGTAATTAAATAATTAATAAAACATTATCTAATTATCTGCAATTTAATATTTTTTAATGGGAAGCATNTTATTAAATTAATTTGATTTAAAGATATGCAGATTCTTCTTATATAAATATTAATAATCAAGGTATTAATCTTAAATTTAATTAATGAATTTATAGATGTCAAGAAGAACAGATCAAACTGCAACATAACTTAAATTCCAATTCCTGCCAGTTAGACGGACACAGTACAGCAGCGTCCTGTACAGTGTGGATGATGCTATTTCCTGTAGTTCCACATCACAGGAAATAGCATCATCAGACACTTTTATGCAAGTTTAAATCCATGCCCAGAAGTTGAAGAAGAAATATACATGCTTTGAACAACAAAATCAGAATTTTATGAGTACTAGTTGCAATTTTTTCATAGTTATACAAATTCATGTTATAGGAGAGTGTGTTATATGGGAGTTAATATGTAAATCATCAAATATGCTGTCTAGATCTCTCAGTTGACCTTTTCTTCCAGATATTTCTAAGTTAATTAAGTAAATTTAACATAAGTTATTAGTACTACTATTTATACAACATAACAGCATTCTCAACATTAAGACCAATTTTAATTTAATATATTAAATAGGTAAACCTAAGCTAGGATACCATTAGACTGAATTTATGGGATAAGGCAACGTAACAAGAGGGCGATTTACCAAGGAGGAGTGCCTCCCGCAAGGAATTTCTATAGGAAATTGGTCCCTATTTACGTGTTAAACACCTGAAGAAACCCGGAAAACTCTACGTGCCCAGCCTGTTGGTGAGGCGCGCGAACACACGATTCAGTGGTTTCATCCATTCGGTCACTACTGAGCACTTATAATGTATTAGAATACTAAACTGATTAACACTAGCAATAACATAGCTTCAAGGATGTAGTGTTAATATTAGTTTTCTGAAGAAAATGAATACTTTAAATGGTATCACTCTCATCTATTTATTTGTTTATCATCTTTGTTTTGTAGAACACTTTTCTTGTGATAACGAAGCACTTCATTGATTCTCTAACTTCTTGTTTCGAAGAATAACAAAACAGTCCTGAGATCAATCAATTTTAAGCAGTATACAATTATCTATAAGCTAAAACTAGCAGAATATTAAGTATTTTTATCATTTCCAAACTCGTATTTATAGAATTATAAATTTCTCATCTTATCATCAATCATCAAAACTAATTTGCATGGCACCCGTTATTCCTCGATCTCCATTGTAATGCATATAGCTGGTGTCAACTACACTTCACACGACACAGAATCTACGTTCGATTATCGACTTTTATACACGAATCTACACAAAAATATAGCGTAATTATAATGTTTTTACTAATAAATAACATAAATTTATGTATTTTGTTTCGTCCTCCAGAGAGTAACCTACATAGCGAACGTCACAAGATAATTTAATCACGTTTTTTTACTTGCGTAACTTTAGACTTACAAAATTTTTTAAGACATTATTTATCATTTTGAAAGCTGCAGATTTAGATTTTGATAACGTAAATAGACTAATCGTAACGGTTACGATTTTGACGCTTTCATCTTCTTTTAAATTTACTTAATTAAAATTACTTTATTTCTCGTTAAATAATTAGTGCAAATCAAAAATTTTTGCTTAAGATTCGCATCGAAGTTACGTAAAAAAGTAACACGTTATTCTTATTTCGTTTGTTGCATGTCATTAAACACATGTTGATAAAGTCTGTAACCAGATTAATGCTAGAGCATATACAGTAATTCTATGGACGAATACTTTACATTAATATTATTAAAGAATTTTATGGAAAAGAGCAGACATTAATCTCAAAATGAAAGCTCTTATTATAATAGTTTTAGAGGGAATTTCATTCAGAATTTAGAATCGACATTTTAAAATAGACATTAAAACAGACTGTTACTACAGACATAAAGTTACCTGTAGTAACAAAAGTTATACATTATTTTTGTATTAGTTACTCTGTTACGATGCGATTTTTGTATTAAACAGATAGTAACGAATGAATTTCTTCTAAAAAGTAGAACTAGATAACAGTTATATCTACCCTACTTTTTATTTTTCCGGCTGTTATATGACCTTTAACACAGGGAAAGTATGACAATTGGTTCAAAAAATGACCCCTCTAAGATTTTTTACATTTTTGGATTCGGAGGACGTTTAAATGTCGAGAAATACAAAAAAGACAGTTTTTTCTGTAATGTTTCTGTTTACGGATGTGTTAAGATTTTGTTCACCCTCTTTGAAGCTTAATAACCCCTTTGTCTTTTGTCGAAAATTCCTGAAATTTTGCAAGGTAGTTTGTGTATAAGGGGCATTCACTCTATTAAATTTTGGTGGTTTCAGGTCGAGGAGGTGGGGAGATAGAAGAGGATCTTGTGTCATATCTGCAGCGAAGTTGAACTTTTAATAAAGATTTTACTCGTTATTAGTACAGTATTTACAATTTTTATAAAGCTCATCTCCATCCTCAAAATTTTTTAACCATCCTTTATTGCCATTTTATAATAATTAATAATGTGAAAACTTTTAATAAAATGTCGTAACGGATGGCGCCACACGCAATTTTAGGTTTTTTTGCGGGAAAGTTACTCATTTCGTTGCTGGATTTTCTTATCATTCTTACAGATCCAATAAAATGAAATAACTTTAGTAATTATCATTTTCGATTGCTCAATTCTATAATTAGATACAACTTACTAAAAACGTCTACGCTCTTTTCTGATTAAATTAAGACTGGAAGTAAGAAGGTTTATTAATCGGCATGACTATCGAAGATTCTCTCTCATTTGAAAACAGATCCGGCAAATCATCCAAGAAAAATGCAAGAATTTATGAATAATTTTTAAAATTTTCTCCACCCCGAGGACACAAAGAGGGTTCTTTTTCCATGTCTAGTACCCATCAGTAGCCGAGTGAATAAAATCACTGAACACTAGTCTCTAGTTCGTGCTTCGCCGACAGGCTAACAACGTGGAGTTTTCTGGGTTTTCTTCAAGTGTCTAACACCAAAATAGGAGCCCGTTTCTCATAGAAAGTCCTCCTGAGAGTCATCTCTTGACAGATCGCCCACGTGTTTCTTTGCCACCGATCTACTCTCGTGTGCATCATTAGTTAAGCCAGATACACAATGGGGGGCAGTCGAATAGTGAAAGACGGGAGCCGATACACATATGGGTCAACCCACTTATAAAAATTTCTGAACCAATCGGATCTTTCCTAAAATTTCGAATCCGGATCCTTCCCAATTGATGGGCTGATGATGATTTTGCCTCCAATCAGTAGAAAGAACATGAAAAGTGATCAAAATCGAGCTTAATTTATTTTTTAATGGATAATATAAAATTATTTAATTCTTATAAATATATTTATGTTTATATTTATACGCATTGCTTATATTTTATTTATTTATTTGTAGTTATTAGTTGCCGATGCGATCATCGCTTTTCTGTTTTTTATGTCTTCTGTATTATGCTTCACTGCCGAATGCGAATTATCGAGGCCCAACGCTGCTGTGAAACTCACAGCCGTAAGTGTATATTTATATATATCCTAATTATATATGAATTATATTAAATTATAATTTTCTATACAGATATTCGGATTAATGGGAATTCTGGGATTTTCGGCCACGGTCTACATGGAGTATTGTTGGTATAAGAATTCCATAGCCACTTCCGAAGAGACCAATACCGAAACATAATTTTTTGTACGATAATGCCCCTTTCAAATATATAATAATAATATTAAAAAAGACATTCCTTTATGTGTTGATTCTATTTCTATATTCCGTACATCATTTTAGCCCCTATTCTTTGTTAATATATTATTTAGATCTCTAGATGACAGTGGGACAGTCTGCTGCTCCAGAAGTCCTGGGTTTGTATTCATGAATCGTCATTACTATCGTGCCTCGAGCCCCCCGACTCATAAGATTTATCTCTGGAATCATTTTCTATGGTCCCGTAGGAATACTTCAACTATTATTCCTATCTGATCGAACCCATGCTGGACATGTAAATAGGCTCTTTTAGTGCCTTCAAAGATGCATTATCTTAACGATAATAATAATAAAACGTGGTTGTATTAATGGATAAAATTGAGATAGACCAAATAACCATATTGTTTCTATCTTGAGAAAAATCTAATTTGATTATTCCTAGCACCATATTAATAGGAACAAACAAAACCTAAGTTTTGCAATTGTAAGCACACTAAATTCACAACTTACGTGTGTAGTTGTGAAACTTTATCTAGATAAGGAATGAAAAATATAAGAACTAAATTTAAAACAGAAGTATACCCTCGAATGATGAAGGATACTTTCCATGAAGAAGAGTGGAAAAAGTACAATTTTTATGAGTGAACAAATACGGCATACTTGAAATGCAACAATTAATATGCAAAAATTGTTAATAATTACAAATATTTAATTAGATTGATAAGTTTAATATAATTTCATTTAATAAAATTTAAATCATACTCAAAGAAACAGTCTAAAACTCCAGCAATATCATTTAATAAAAGCATATTTAATTATATTAAAAAATAATAATCTTTTTNTTATTATAAATAATTAATTAGATAAAGAGAATATTATTATTTTTAATATAATTAATTATGTTTTCATTAAACTTTTATTAAATATTTCTAGAGTTGTTTAGAGTATTAGTATACAAGAATAGCCGAACATCCAGGCGCTACTATACACCATTTTTTAAAATTAACACTAAAAATATGCTTTTCTCAGTAGTAAATATATTTATTCCTTAAATTAACATTATAGAACAATAAATTTCTTAAAACATTAAAACAAATAAAATATCTATTATATTACATTTTATAAGAAAATTTTAATTTATATCACTTTCATATTTTTTTTTCCCATCTAAAACACTACACTTTGGATGTCCATAGACTACATTTTGAGTCCCTCTTTATGTCCAGGGCACAAAATGAACTTTATTTTTATAATCCAGATAGAAATAATCTTTTATGTACAAGCCCGGATATGCGGAATGTCTGCAGAAACATTTGGTCCTGCTTCTCTAACCTTAGGAATTTACATACTTAAACATACGTACAAACAGTATGCTTCAACATACTATATGCTTCATACAGTATGTTTCATAAACATACAGTATGCTTCAAAAATGTTAACACTAATATAGAAGTAAGTTCTTATGCAGGATTTGTAGTGACAAGTTGTTTTCTGTGTCAGGAGCAAGAAGTCAGTTCTTGGTAGTAAGGCCGCAGTTCTTTTGAGAAGGAGTTCTCAAAAGAAATGAGGTCCTACTATCTCTAATACAATGGCTTCTCTATATAAATGTTAACATTTATATCTTAAAACGAAAAACAATTATCATGCATGCTAAGAGAGCTATTGCTTTAATGATAATACCATGTAATTATATATTTGAGAAAGAGAATCGAGATACTTCGAGTCACATGAGTGCCCACCAGTGGCCGAGTGAATAAAACCACTGAACATGGTACTCGGTCGTGGGTTTGCGCTTGACCAACGGGCTGGCAGCATGTTTTCCTGGTTTTTTTCACGTTAGTAACACCTAAATAGAAGCTAGTTTTCCATAAGAAGACACATCGCACATGTGTCGTGTTGCCGTAACTAAATAAATTAAATCAAACCTCTATTATATCTATTACCTTACGACTTAAGAATATAAAAGTTAAATTCACCATTAGTACCAATGACAAAACTTTGCAAATCATTTCGAGGACGTCCAGTTCGTGATTCCGCATAGATACTTCATTTTCTTCAAATATGTTTATTATGTTAATGAGATTCTCTAGAAAATAGAAATCGTGTTGTAGGCAGGAAAATATAATAATACAGTAGGCCTACCCTGACTTATGAGTACTCTATACACGTAATGCCGTATTTTATCCCTCTTCTCTATTCACTAGACGAATTATTTGACACTAAGAGCGCAGACCGATATTTACGAGAAATTATTCTAATCAATAGTCACGTATTTGACAAGATTGAAATTTCCGCCCACTCCTATTGGATGATGCTTACAAGCATTTTCTGTTCATTCACACTAATAATGGGTAAACCCATCATTTCTAGAAGGCCGGATGGCCAAGCAATTAAACTGGCAACTTACAGCTTTGTTTCTGTTATTTATATGTTCAAAATTGATATGAGAGGAGAAAATCTGAGAACCACAGGGATATATTTAGCGGGCCAAATTCAACAGATTTAGTGAGGGTCACAACACTAAATCTGTTGAATTTAACATGCGGAAGATATTTCCAAAAATAGTACCAAAACTCACCACTATGGCTTTAGGCACCGCTTGATTTTAATTCGCGTGAATTTTGATTGTGGAGAGTGAAAAATACTGTAGTTAATATTATATTATTAATATTAACTATTTTTCACTATACGCTAAGTGTTCATTGTTAATGAAAAAGTATAAAAAATTTATGATAATAATTCAATTTTTGTGGGCTCTTGAAACTTGGGGGCCCAGGGCCTAAGCCCTATTAGTCCCTATGTATATCCGCCCCTGACCGGTATATTTTAATATAATTAAATCAAAAATAAAAATGTAACGATAAAATAATTCATTACTAATTACATTTTAGAGATTAAACTTTATCCAAGTCCAAGTGATGGATGAAACAAAAACAAAACTTAAAATTAGGGTTTTATCCAAAAAAAGTAAAGCATATTTACTGTTGTTTAATTTAAACAGAGATTAATATCTTTTAGGTGTTAGCATTTCGTTTTTTAGCCACTGACAAGTGAGTTGATAATGGGAATAACAATGTTGCCAGTTACTTCAATTTTAATATGTAATTGAAGCATAAGAAATTAAAAAATATGTAAGCATAACAAGTAATTGAAGCATAAGTAAATCAAAAAATTAAATTTTTTTTTATTTAATTATGCTGAGTGAGGGTACTTCAATTTTAATATGGCGGCACCGGTGGATTATTACAGGAAGTATAGGAAGATAACGTTAAAACTTGTCGAGGCTGATTGCAAATTTGAAAGAATGTTTGAAAAGCAAAGTATTTCCGATGTCGATATATAGGATTAGCATCCCAAAAGAATCTTTGAAAGCCAGGCTTTGTCTAATGTGTCTTCGTAAATCAATTAGAATTGCTAAGAATAAAAAATATGGTATCTTGCATGAGCTCATCATGTTAGAAGATAATATATACAATGAAGATCCTAAAATGTTGGTAGAAATTAACAAAGGCATAGTTGTGCTAACAGATAAAATTCGTATGAATTTAAGGAATAAATACATTAATAAAATGAAGTGGATTTTTAAAAAGCAAGCATCAAGAGCAGTTAATAGCAATCCTTCATCATTTATTTTGTGGGACCAAATAGAAGTCCCGACTAAGATCAAGGATTTTCTAAAATGGGGACCGAACTTTGTCCCGGAAAATTCAAACTCATGGGAAACATCAATCCAAGAAATAGAAAGAGGAATATCTGGGCTAGATTCTTTAGAAAAAAAATACCTCCGATGGAAAACCGTCATAAAAGACCAGACGTCTTGGAAGAAAAGATGTGATGCCGGTAAATACATCAAACTTACTAAAGGTTGGCTTAGAAAAAATGATTTAGTTACAACAAGAGCTGACAAAAGCAAAACCTTGGTAATCATGAAAAGGCAGACATATAATAACGCATTGGAGGATTATATTAAGAAAACCGAATGTGAGCGTGTTGAAACAAAGATTATCGACAGCGTCGACAGAAGGGTTAAGAAACTTGAAAAAGCTAAGCTCACTAATGCATTACCTTTCCTCAAAAATTGTCGTAATCCCAGGCCAAGTATGCCTAGATTGTTTGCTTTTGCCAAGACCCATAAAGAGGGTAAAGAAATGAGACCTATAGTGGAAAGGTGCAGAGGACCAACGTTTATTCTTGAAAAGAAATTACATAAGTTTCTCATCTCGCACCTCGAGAGTAATGTACATGTGGCATAGGATCCAAAGGAGGTGGTTAATGAGATACAAGATCTAATTTTAATGGACGATGAAATTGGAACGGTGATGGACTATGAAAGTTTATACCCGTCTATAAAAATTGAATCATGCAGGTTAGCACTTTTAGATTTCATGCACAGCAAGAGCCCAGATTTGGCATGTTACAACAATGATTTGATAGCACTAGCTAACCTTATTTTGTTATGAATCTTTTTTCACCTTTAACGGCCATTAGTACAGACAAAAAAGAGGAGTCCCTATGGGAAGTCCCATGTCAAGACTGTTGTGTGAGCTTGTATTGAGAAAATAGGAAAAAAGTGCTCTTTCTGTTTTCTTAAATGACATTGTGTGTTTTAAAAGATACGTTTATGATGTCTTTGTAGTTTCGAAGAATGACGAAAAAATCGATGATTTTATTAACAAGATCAACAACAACGATGATGGTCTCATGCTGAAGATTGAACAGAAATGTGCCTCAAGGATACATTTTTTGGATATTGACATTGAATTCAAAGAAGGACATTTAGCCACTAAAGTATACGTAAAACCGACGCATAGCCCTCTGTACATTCCGTCTCATTCTAATGAACCTTACCAATACAAAATGGCTGCCTTCCGTGCTCTTATCCAAAGGGTTTTTCTCTATTGCAGTAGTGTGTTGGATAGGCAAAAAGAAATTAATAGAATATTACATATTGCCAGATCTCTAGGGTACAGAGAAGATATGATAACAACGTTGATCAGAAAATACAAAATAAACAAAACTAAAGCTCAAAAC